ATAATATACAATATACAACATACAATATATAATATAATAAGCATATTTAATAATTTAAAGAATAATTTAAAAAAACCTTTTTCTCCGATATTAAGTAAAATTTATTTTATCGTTTTCTTTAGCATTACAATCAAATCAATAATTTAGAATATTTCTATAATATCAAAAAATTATTTAAATATTTATTATTACATTTTTTAAGGAAATTAAATATTCCAAAAGATAGTTTAAGATATTACATATTGCTAAGATCAAATCTTGTTATAAAAATGGTATAAAAATATTCTAATAAAAATCCTAATAAAAATTCTATTAAAAATTCTAATAAAATTCTAAAATAATTTTCCATAAATATCGAATAAACAGGTGTATAAATATCCTCGGTGTATAAATCCTATATTTTCTGTATTTCCTGTATTTCCTGTATGTATTTCCTCTGATTTTTTAGATATATATTCTAGCTATTAGAAAATCACAACATATTAGATATTCATAGAATCAATTCTTGTTACATTATGAAAATATTATTACAAGACACTTTGTTTTGCGGAAATTGTAGATTCTTCCAATTATGCCATATTACATAAAAAGATAAATCATTGTTAATATAATGTTTCCAAACCAGTTATTGTATCAATACACTAATGGATATAATAAACAGTGGAAATAAACGGAAATAATCCAATGATTCACTGACCGGTTTCCTAGAATCAAAATGACTTTCAATATTAATAAATACCATTATTAATCTGTTTTATTATCATATCATTCAAATCATTTATCAAATCATTTTGTTTTTTTTTATTATCTCTTATTATCTCTTATTATCTCTTATTATTACAAAAATTTATATAAAAATTTCTATCTCTTTACACGTGTACCATTTTTTCTCATGTTTTATCATCTCGAGAATTTTTAATATTTGAATGTTTGATTATATAAAATCTGAAAATTTTTAAATTTTTAAATTATATACATGAGTCAAGCATTAAAAATAAAAAGAAATTATGTCAAAAAAGAATTATATTAAAAAAGAATTATGTCAAAATCCTGAAAATATTTTCAAGCTAATATATTCATTAAAATTGAGTTATATAATAAAAAAAATGTTTAAGTAACATATAAAAAAAATTTTATTTTTTTTTTAAACTTTCGTTTATCTTTCTTCTAAATATTTTTATGCTATTTCAGAATTTTTGGAATAAGAGATAATAAAAGATGTGTTGCAAATTTTTGAAAAACATTTTATGAAATAAATACATCTTTCATTCGAATAAAAAGTTATGTTTTATAACTATTACGTAATTAAAGTCTAATAATCGTCGATAGACAGCGCTGTAAATGTAATGTATCAGTCTTGCTTTTACCCTCTATCTCTATGTGTGTCTCTAACGTTTCGCGCGTTTTAGAAGAATGAAATTCTCTACGAGTGGAAACGTCTGTAAGTCTCATGGAAGTAATTTTTGTTATCAGAAACCTTGATCTAATCGCACGTAAGTTTGTAAACATTCTATCTATAAATTCCGTTCGCTCGCTTATGCGTCAGATATGAATTTCTATGATATTCAGTTCGCACAATTATGACGCTGCAATGGGAGACTAACCTAAAGAGGACGTTCTTGATGTAAGGTAGTTCTGTCCAAGTATTACTGTCTCAGATTGCCCACAAAATCTCATTAAACGATGAGCGATGCGTATCAAGGGCCTGCTATTGTTGCTTATCTGCATAGCAGGAAGCAGCATCATTTTCATCGCTTTCAGCAACCAACGACCTTCCATTCAGACTCTAGTAACGGAGACTCACAAACAATTGCGGAGCTTCCAGGTAAATATATCATTATTTAATAAGTCTTACTTTTTCGTTTATTTTACTCGTTATTCTTGTATGCGATTTCTTATTTCTAGGAAAATTTAAAAGATGTTGAGGAGAAACGTCTAGTGACAGACTCCAAATACCTTGCATTGCTTGGTCTGGATGGACAGACAACTACCACGCCGATTAGTCCCAAACCTCATAATGTAACGGTTGTGTCGCTCGTAAGGCCTGGAAACGAGCAATATATTCATGGCTTTGTTAGAAACGTCAGCCATTTTTTGCCAAATAATAGTATTGTGATTTATAGTGTCGGTTTAAATGAAGATTCCTTACAAAGTATTAGACTCACCTGTAACTCTACAAGATGTAATGTGACTCACTTTGATCTAAATCCATTTCCTGCTCACGTCGAAGACGATACGCTGCATGTTTATAGACCTTTAGTTATTCAAGTAAGTAATCATATGAATAAAATATTTGTAGCTTCCTAAGATTATATTAATTATTAATCATTAAATAATTTCTTTACAGACAGCTTTAAATACGCTAGGTAGCATAATCTATATGGACTCTAATGTACGTCTGAACTCTTCAGACATTGCAAAATATCTTTGTCCAAAGTCTGGAATCTTAACTTGGCCTACAAGGCACACAGGGGATT